CTTTGCCCAACAATATATAGGTTACTAGTGACATGGTGGATATTGGGAGGTAGCTCACAATATAAAAAGGACTTGCCTGTCAACAGTAATTCAAATCATTTACCAAAAAAAACTTTAACTGGATCCATAGAGATCTATTTCATCCCTTGAGTTCTGCCACATTGCGTGGTCAGACCAGGCAGTGTTATGCTGTGTAGCAGGGATGACACTGAGACCAAAGATTACTTCAAATGTTTTCAACAGTCATAACTTAAGACGAGACAAAGCTAGAAAGGATATAAAAAAAGAACCAAAAAACCCAGCAGAAGTCAACAAGCCACACACAAAACAAAGATACCGACTATCTCGCATAAGCCCTCAGCTTAGATTTAAATCCAACATCTGATTCAATACATAAAGAAACTTAATGATGAATACATTCAGCTGAACGGTTTTGTAATCAGATCATATGGCGAGCTGCAGCTTTTGTGCGTGCGCCTGGGATCTTCTCATTATGACGGGTTTGTGTCGCACTGGAGAAACCGATGCACTGTGCCATTCATCCACCGTGCTCATTGCCTTATCGCCACATGTACACACAGCAGGCAAGCAGCAGCTTGTTAAGGCCGATTGTTTAGTCTGCAGTGTTTAGTCTGGCAGGAAAATGTCAAAAAAAATAATCTTTGACCACAATAAGTGCAAGTGAGAGAAAAATAAGGCAAATAAACTGAAGCCCATTTAAATGTGACACTTTTAGCTGTTTTAAATTGGATGGTTTCCGGCTTCCCGTTACTTTTCTAAGCGCCCGTGTTATGTAAAGAAAGAGAATCTTTCCATCTGCAATACAACACAATATGTGATGATTCCCAAAGCCCACCATTTAGCAATTAAACCTAATTAGCATCAGCCAGAAAGTGTTTGCGCAAAACGCTCCCTGCGCTCAGCGTAAAACTACAACACAAACAAGCAGAGAGTGACTCACACACTGTATATGTTTGCGTTTTAAAATAATGCCCGTGCAGAGATCATTACTTTTCCTTTTTAGTGTTCGGGGAAATGGTAAAGATGCGCGATCGTGTACCACCTAATGAGCCGGGTTAAACTTTTAAAGACCAATATCTCCATTTAATAACCCCGCAGACACATTCTGCACCGCGAGGAAAAGAAACCAAGACACAATTAGACGTTTTCCATCATTGGGCGTTCTTTTTCGTTAATCAAATAAAGGTTTTCTTTTTCCCGACCCACAGGAGCTTCTTGTCCTACACCATATTTTCCATAATTAGTTATAATCGGATAATGAAATCCTCCTTAATGACGATTGATACGCATATTTACAGCTGCTGCTCGTCTCTCCGTTCTCCTCGCTTTAAAAGGTGCGAGGATACTGGCTTTAAAGTTTAAACATTTCCCCAAATGAGCTTTAGATCAGAATGATTCTATTGGTTACCCGCAGTATTATCGGAGTTAAGCTTTTTAATGTTTTCCCCAGTTTATTCTACATGGAGCCAAACAGGCATCTGTTCAGATGAGTGTGCGGCGAGAGGCCTGATGGTTGATGCAGATTTCTCTGCGGTGCGAAAACGTTCGAGGCCAGAAACTTCTATCCCAATAGATGACTCGCTAACAGTAGAAACCCGACAAGATTCTTCTAACATGTTGGATTTTGTCGGCCACAATATGACTGGGCTTGCGCAGCCTCAAGGCGGTCCAACGCTCCAGTGTGCAAGAGATCCTGGCAGTATCAAATCCGATTTTAGCTCAAGGGCTAATGGAAACTGAAGACAACTTTCTGACTCAGTGATTAACGTGACATTAGAGGAGTTTAAAACATTTCCATGTTACACTCCTCACAAAGAGCTTTTATGTCTTGATAAAA